TCTTTCTTTAGGAAAAGATATTAAAGATTAAATCTTGGTCTCCCGATATATTGGTCTTTACCTCAAGAATCCAACAACGACCTCCCAAATATTTCAAGGGTCCATTGTTGGGAAAATTTTATTTGGAAAATAAATGTATTGTTTTTTTCTTTAAACTATCATTCCCAAACAAATTTGTACCCTTAATAATCTCCGTAATATACGCAATAACATAATTGGATAGAACATATACCATTAATAAAATATTACTAAATATAAGCATCATATGATATAAATAAATTAACACAAAACATTAGACTAAACCATATACATAACAACTCAATAGCAAATACTTATTTCATACCATAGTTTGGAAACAATATTAGCAATCAAACAAAAGAAAATAAATTATATATTGACTAAAATTTAAAAAAAAAATATACACAAACAAAGCAAGGACTAGTGTAGCGAAAAAAAGAATTTTAAGTATAAATATTAAGGATTAAAACCAATGAATTTTAAAACCTCAATTTTGAGCACTCACACTATATCATAAAAAATTAATTTCAAATACCATAAATTTAAAACTCATGATTTTTAACCAAAACTCCAAAAACCACAATCAACTTAAAAATATCAACCTCATTTCCAAAACTTCTAACTTCTAAACAGTCACAATGACAAACAAATACCCTTGCAATTTCACCATACAAATAAGCTAAATTTTCATTTAAACAGTTCACGTACTCACATATTCGTGAATCGGAATGCGTTGGAACGAATCTCTGTTCGGGAATCACGGATCACAATTTATCAACTCATAAAGGTAGATATGCTGAAAGAAAGTTCGAATGGTGGTTACAGGATGTGAGGTGATTGAGTATTTTTTTAACCCTACCCCTATTTATAGCAAACAAGAATTCAATCATTTAACGAAAATATCAAACTTTTAAACATAACAATTATTATTATTTAATATACAAATCTTGATAAAAAAAAATGAAATAAGATAAATGATTAATTAAAAGATTAAGTTTTTACCAAATTTATCAAATCAAATTAAAAAGTTTTCCAAAAAAAAAATTATTTTATTTTTCTTAAAAGATTTTATTTTAAGAAAACAAGGAATCAAAATATCCATTTTTTTATTTTATCTTTTGATATTTTTTTAATTTTATTACTTTTTTTTTATAAAACATAGGAAAATATTTGCCATAAAGAAAAATAAAAGTTCTTGGGAGAGAATTATTATGAATAAAAACTAAATAAAAATAAAATTAAAATTAAAAAAACAATGAAATGGAACGACAAATTTAGGGGTCTACCGTTTGCCCTCATTTGTTCATCCTTATAGAATTAGAGGATGGACAAAGGTGTAGACTTCAATTTGTTCGATATTATATTTTCATCGAATATAATAATAGATAAGAGAGGAAAGACTACTAGAAGTCTCGCTGTCAACCAATATTTATAGACATCTCTGTCAACTGCTATTTGACATTTATAGACATCTTTGTCAATTGCTATTTGACATTTATAGACGTCTCTGTCAACTGCTATTTGACATTTATAGACATCATTGTCAATCGATATTTGATAATTATAGACATCATTATTAATCGATATTTGATATTTATAGACATCACTGTCAACTCATATTTGTGGATAGCCAATAGTAAACACTTACCGTCAACAATAAGGTTTGCACAAGCAAGTAATGTTTTACGAGATACTATATTCAGAGATAGACATATGCCAATTAAAAATTGTGATGTAAAAGCTTTTCAATTGCAATTTGCCCCAATGTTAAACTTTCGAAAACTTTTTTTTTTGGCCAAAAATTGACCTAAAAACTGCATTCCTTTTCGATAGGTATGTTTCAACAAATCATGGATGAACAAGATCTTCTTCATGAGAACCTTATTCTGCAACTTGTCCTTACTTGACTGCGAGATCTAACACGTTGGATGTTTTGTCTTATTCTGAAACTTTACATTTATCTTATCAGACTTTTTGTGTATCAATGTTTATGATATCTCATCACTTCTTTTTTTTTACTATTCTATTTTACATTCTCAACATAGTATATAGTCATAGCTAAAATTTGAGATGGAGGGACAAGATGAGAAAAGAATGACAAAGGAAATGACATATTCGATAGGTAAAAAGAAAGATACTATGAGATGAGAAATGATTGAATTTGAAAAGAAACGAGAGCTATGGTCTTATTGATGACGAAAAGATTACAAGTATTTGATAATAAAAGTTGAAAACAACAAAATATAGTTCTTCCAAAGTTGCCAATGCCCCAGTAAAAATGTTTGTAAAGTATCCTCCTTCTTCGTGCAAAGTATCTCTTAATGTAATTTGAGTTGATCAGTAGTGACAAATCATCTCCATCCATGGTTGTTAACAGTAATACTCCTCCTGAAAAGGTTTTTCACCACAAAAGGATTTTCATAGTTTGGAGTCCATTTTCCTCTATGATCTTTTTAAAATGGGAGTATTCTTTTCAATACTAGTTCTCCTTCTTGAAAATGGATGATGACGTACTTTCTTCTGATGAGCTCGCATTATGTTCCTTTGATAGAGTTGCTCTCTACATAATTAGGTTAACCTTTTTTCTTCAATGAAAATCAATTGCTCATATCTTGTTTGAAGTCATTCAGTTTCTTCCAACTTTGCTTCTATCAGAACTCGTAGAGATGGTATTTCCATCTCTAATGGGAGAACAGCTTCCATGTCATACACTAATGAAAATAGAGTTGCCTCAATCGAGGTACAGCTGCTTTATGATATCCATGTAATGCAAAAGGAAGCATTTCATGTCAATCCTTCTACGTAATTGTCATATTTTTCTATGATCTTTTTAATGTTCTTATTAGCTGCCTCTACTGCCCCATTCATCTTCGGATGATAAGTTGTCGAGTTTAAATGTTTGATCTGAAATTGCTTGCACATCTCATCCATCATCTTATTGTTCAAATTTCTTGCGTTATCTGTTATTATTCTCTCTTGAAGACCATAGCGGCAAATCAATTCTTTCTTTATGAATTTAAGGATCACATTCTTTGTGACATTCTGATATGAAGTTGCCTCCACCCACTTTGTGAAATCATCAATGGCTACAAGAATAAAGCAATGTCCATTGGTAGCTTTGGGCCCAATTGGGCCAATGATATCTATACCCCACATTGAAAAGTGTCAGGGTGCTAACAAACATATCAAGTGGATACTGGAGCATGAATATTGTTTGCATATATTTGACATTTATGACATTCTCTAGCATATTTGATTCAATCAGACTCCATTTTTAGCCAATAATATCCAGTGCGGAGGATCTGTCTAGACATCATGTGGCCATTAATGTGAGTACCACAAATATCATCATGAACTTCTTTCATAATATTGTTTGCTTCTTTTGCATCAACACATTTAAAGAGGACCATATCATGATTCCTTTTGTAGAACACTTCTCCATTCAAAAAAGATTTCATAGCGAGTCTCCTTAAAGTTCGCTTATCATTTTCTGAAACTTCCTCAAGATATTCACTACCTTGTATGTACTGCTTAATGTAAAAAAACCATGGCTTTCCATCTATTTCTTCTTCAATATAGTGATAGTAGGCAGGAACTTTTCGCTTTTCGATCTTGATCGGTTCTACCTCTTCGTTTAGCTCAACAATAAACATGGATGACAATGTTGCTAATGCATCAACGATTTGATTGCTTTCATGTGGGATATGATCAAAAGTGACGGTTACGAAATCTTGCATAAGTCTAGTATGTGCTTTTTATATGGAATCAATTTATGGTCTCGAGTTTCCCATTCGTCATTAAGCTGGTGTATCACTAGTAACGAATCTCCATAGACTTGTAATTTTTTAACATTCATATCACATGCTGCTCGAACTCTCATACTGCATGCTTAGTATTCTGCAATATTATTAGTACAATTGAAATGCAGTTTGGCAGTTACGGAGACAATTTCTTTTCTAGAGAAATTAGTATTGCACTAATTTCGTGCCCCAGCTCATTTGAAGCTCCGTCAAACAACATAATCCAAAGGTCGGGATATGAGATTTATTTTCCCTCTTCTATTGTGATGATACTTTCATCAGGAAAATCTAGGCTCATTGGTTCATAGTCTTCCAAAGGTGAATCTGCTCGATAATTTGCAAGAGCACTTCCTTTGATCGCCTTTTTCGTAACATAAATTATATCATATTCTGAAAGCGAAACTTGTCATTTGGCAATTCTTCCTGATAAGGCTTTTCGTATAACATGTAGGATTGAGTAGTTACTGAACATAGCCAAGTAAAAGATAAAGAAAGTGTCTAAAATACCCTTGCATCAAATTCTAACAACTACATCAACCTCAAACATCTATAACACCTCCTAAAACCTCCTAATTGGCCTTTTAAAACAGCTACTTTCTCTATGACTAGTTACTGGACGTAGCCAAATGAAAGATGAAGTGTCTAAAATACCCTTGCATCAAATTTTCCCCACCCAAAAGAAATAACTCGTCCTCAGTTCATGTTGCTAAAGAGAATCCGTCAGCGGCGTGATATTCGAATATGTAGGCTATGTTAAAGGTGGAACTTATGTTTAGTGAAGGTGGTAGATGAGCCAGCAGGAAGTCTAAGACTTCAACAGAAAATTCATGAAAAGGTCGCTAACTTTAAAGGATTTGTGTCGACGATGAACATCAGCTTGAGTTTTGTACGAAGCGTTTGCCTTTTCCAAGTGGTCAATAACATCCTCGTGTAGTTTTTTAATCGTTTCGACCATGTGTTCCGCTTCAACCCGAAGATCAACATTAGAAGGCAAATTAATAAGGTCGAAAGTGAGTCTAGGGAGTTTAGTGTAAAACAGTATCAAATGGGACTTCCCTTGTTTATCTATTTTGCATATGGTTGTATGCAAATTCAGCTTGAGCTAGAGAGTTATCTCATTGCTTTAGTTGGTTGCCACTAAGGCAACGAAGATGGTTACCAAAGTACGGTTGATTACGTCCGTTTGGCCATTCGTCTGAAGATGACTTGTTGTGCTAAACTTCAAACTTGTTTCAAATTTTTTCCATAGGCTTTTCCAAAAGAAGCTCATAAATTTCCATCTCGATCGGACACTATAAACTTTAGAACACCATGTAACCTAACAATTTCCTTGAAAAAAAAGATTAGCAATATTCATACCATCCAAAGTTTTCTAACCAGCAATAAAATGTGCCATACAAACTCTCCAATGCTTGATTTACAAGCAATAAAACTCGGAGTTTGTATGGTGTTTTAATATTGTTCATTTTTTAGTTTATGTTTAAAAAATCTCTCAAAATTTTGAAACTTCTTGACAATTCCACACAATGGAGGAAAGTTTGTATCATTGACACAACAATAATTACTATAATAGTTCACCTACAGAATTCAAAGACGAAAATAAAATGTTTAAAAGTTTAAGAAAGTTATGAGATTTAAAATCAATAGAAAGCTATCTAATTTTTTACCAAGGAAAAAAAATTATAAAACAAAAAAGAGATTGAGCTATTTTGTCCCATGGATTATATATATCATTTTGATGGCTTTGTTATACCCATTTTAATTGTGGAGAGGAACATACACATTTAGCTTTTTGTATTGTTCTTTCTAACTATTTGGAAGTATAAAAGAGAGAGAGAGAGATTCATTGAGTGTCATCAGTTTACATCCTTTAAGATTCCTATATGGTTGAGGATTGTCCTTTCATTGTTGCTGATAGTGAACCAATGGACTCTCCCACTGTCAAGAACACATTATTTGGCCTCAAAATCTCTTGATTTTCATCTGCTTTTTGTAACTTTTCCAAAACTTCACCCAATGGATTCACCAACACAAGCTGTATGAATATTGTCAACGGAAGACTTATCAAAACTAACCAAGAAAGCAAATAAAGAAACTCGGATAAATTATCGTTTAAGCTAGCCTCTGGGTTGTGCTTGGTTTCAGTTTGGTCTCTCTGGTTTTAAAAGTTTCAATTTTATCCCTATAGTTTGCTTAAACGTCTCCAAAGGTTTTTGTCATTACTAGACGTGACATGTTTCATTAGATGCAGAAAAAGAGACAATAAGTTGACATCCGAGTAAAATGTGTTACTAAGAAACTTTCAACGACATAGATGTTTCTGGAGATTTAACTAGATTGTAAAGATTGAATTGAAATCAACCACAAATTAAAGGAACTAAAATGGTAAATTAACCGAGAAATGATGAAGAGAGTTGGAAGTACTTGCCTCAACACCTTTCTTTTCCAGTGCTCTTCTTAGATCCTTGAAGAGTAAAACTCCGCTGGTGTCTATAGCACTCACAGCTGCAACAGTTTGCAACTCGTTAATCATATTAAAGCTACACTGCTTGACTTATGATGTTCACAAAGTTCCAAATCACAAAATTGCCAACTCGAGAACATGATTTTACGTGGAACATCCTTATAGGCTAAGAAGCACGAAAATTTTAGTTTGGGTAACCTTATCTGTGTCAAGACACTCCAACAGTTGTTTGATACATGTCAAACACTAGAGCACAATAAACGTGTGTCGGACACTAGCGGTACGAAATGAATACGAGTCTAACACTTGTTAGAGATAATACATAGACATAAATTACGAAATAATACATTAAACTCATCCTTTAAACATATGAGTTCATAAGCTTATTGACTTTAAATTTCAATCCTGTGTATATCTATCTTGGTCATGTTCGTATCCTTAATTTTTAGGAAACAGTGTGCCATCATGAATGTGTTGTGTCCATATCTTTTGTTTGTATCCATGCTTCTTAACTTTCACGAAGAGCTCTCTATATAATGAAACTACAATACAACAATGGGAAAAAAGGTCGAGACAATAGACTAGAAGACATTCAAGTTGGGTGAAGCAGAATTCGAGCTGCTATTCAAACAATTTTCAGTGGGGGTAGTAAAGAAGGATTAATACAAACAATTTTCAGTGGGGGTAGTAAAGAAGGATTAATAAGCTCACCTGACAACTCTAAAATCAGAAACTGAAGGCCAGAGGCCTCCTTAACATGATCTTCAGCTTCATAATCTTCAATCCATCTCAAAATCCTTCACAGCAGAGGCCCAAATAGACAGCACATTTTAGATATAAATAACGTGTAATAAGAAGTTATAACAAAGGTTTTGAGTGAGTGAAAGTGATTGGAAATTAACCTTTCGTTGAGATAAGTGGTGTTGGCAAAGTTGATTGGAGCTTCAATGCTTAAAATGAGGAAGCCTTGGATTCTCATTGCCTCCTTGTAATGGTGAAGGTTCCTATATATATCTGTTCCAGGTATGTTCCCCAACATCACTGTTTTTGGCCTAGTGATTTGAAAGATGAGCTTGAAAATGGATATGCCAACCTGAGCACCAATATGCCAACCAACTATGAGTCCCAACATCAGTAATTAGAGGCAGAGACAAAATTTTACATGCCAACTTTTTATATACATATAATCTTTCACTATACTTTTTAGGTTAAAAAATATTTTTGGTTTTGTAATTTCGTTAAAAGTAACGTTTTAGTCTTTGAATTTTAGACTTAGTCTTTGAATTTTAGTTTGTAAGGATTAGACATTGTACTATCAAATTGGTAATAATTTAGTCCATGAAATTTAGTCATTATCATGAAAAAAAGTAGTTAAGATTTAATAGGATTGTTTATATATGTAAATCGATAAACTAATGAATAATCAAATATGCCTATAAATTACAAAGACTAAATCGTTATACAATAAAAATCTAACACTTTATTTTGACGAGATTTTTCATGGTAGGGACTTAATTGTTACAAATTTTAAATTATAGGGACTAAAGTATTAAATACTAAAGTTTATGAATTAAAATGTTACCAATTTAAAAGTACAAGAACTAAATCGTTGCAAAAGTTGGACTCAATCGTTACCAATTTGGAAGTACATAAATTAAATTGTTGTGAAATTAGAATTTAGGATATTAAATCTTAGTAGCCACTATGATTTGAACTCACTCCCTCTAAGTCCTTTGCTCTACTAAGATTTCAACTCATTCCTTTTTAGTCCTTTGCTATTTACCTTACCCTTATTGACCACTAGAGCATCCTATGATTGGTTCAATACCATCTTTAATATATTAAAATATTCAATTAGATTATTTCATTAAAAAAATTTATTGAATTTGTTGACGAAAGCTTAATGGATAATGTAGGTCCATTATGTTTTGTTTTTTATTTCTATTTTTGAAAATTAGGCTTACTACTACTTATTGTATTCATTTATTTTGTTATCAACTTTTTAAAAATATTTATAAAAGCTAAGCAATAAATATAAATAGATAAAGAAATGATAAGAAAACAAATACAATTTTTAAAAGGAAAATATATGTTTTTGCATTTGCCTCTCTTAATTGTCAAACATTTAAAAGCATCGATACCAAGCTAAATATTTCCCTTTTAAAAAAAACAAAATTATTGGCCTGAATTAATGTTTTATTAACCTACCTAAACAAAAAGATAACACTAGGATGTCAAGATAATATATAAAATCAATCCAACATGCCTATTAGAAAAATGTAACCTAATGTTGAACAAAATCCAAAAATTTAATGTACAAATGTGCTAATAAAACAATAATTTATAAAATTGAAAATCTGCAAAAAAAAGATATATATATATATATATATACCATTTAAAAGGTGGACTTACAGCAATGGCGAGACCATGTTGGACGGAGACGAGAATGACGCCGAAGAAGGCGCAGAGCATGACGAGGAAATCGAACTTATCGACCTTCCAAACGGCGTAGGCGGCGGGGAGATCGACGAGGCCGACGACGGCGGTGACGATGATGGCGGCCAGCACCAGATTGGGCGTGAACTGAAACAGAGGCATCAGGAACAGCAGCGTCACCATGATCGTCACCGACATCACGATGTTCGACACCGCCGTCTTGGCCCCGGCGTTGTGGTTCACGGCCGACCTAGAGAACGCGCCTGGGAATGAAATCGAATTGAACTAGTTAGGGCTTTGAAATTTCAATCGAATTGGGGGATTTCGTTTAATTAGGGCTCTGGAATGTGACCTGTGGTGATGTAGCAGGAGGTGAAGGAGCCGACGACGTTCATGAGGCCGATTGCGATCATCTCTTTGTTGCCGTCGACGCGGTAGTCCTTGAGGGCGGCGAATGTTCGGCCGACGGCGATTCCTTCCTGATTTGATTTCCATCAATTTCAACTGTGTTTGAAGTTTGAAGAAATTTGAAGAGAGAATGAATAATGGAATTAGAAAACTGACGGTGAGAGAGATGATTCCAGTGACGAGGCCAGTCTTGAGGACGAGGATAAGATGAGAGCTTCCAAAACGAAGCATGTTCCATGATGGTGGGTTCAATCCTTCTTCCAATTTTCCTATCTGCCAAAATACCCCCTAATATTAATATCATGCCATCACCAAAACCATTCTAAAACTCTAATTTCTTTCCCTCTTTAATCTCGAATCTCGCGTCGCGTTCGATAATCATTTGACATGTTGGGAAGGAATTCAAACTCAAAATCTTTTAATGGGAAATATATATAAATATATAAATTACTGCTCCCTCTAACAAAAACAAACCTAACTTATTAAAATAAAAAACTGAAAACGAAATAATTATGAGACCTTGAATAAAAGAGATGAATGTATAGAAAAACATACTACTCCTAGTTATCACCTAAATATTATTCATAGCTAATTATCAATAGAATTAGAATATATGAATTTAAAAGTAACATTTATAAGATATCTTTTTTTATAAATTTCTTTTAGTCCAACAATATGTATGGTGGAAATTCGAAGTCATAACCTTCAAAGATAGCTACTTTAACCAATTATTTTGAAATCATATTGACATGAGATCACAAGAGTATCGCCATTTTACTATAGGTCAATTTCCTATATAATAGCAAACCATTTCTAAGTATGCAAAATAATTACATATAAAGTCCTATAAAATGAGTGGGTTTTTAATTCTAAAAAAAAAAGGTAAACAAGATAGAAAGGTAAAAGTAAAAAGTAAAAAGTAAAAACTTACTATGCTAATGCCATGCCGATCAGCTCTGAAGGCAAAAACCAATATGGTTGAAAGAATTACCGACGCCAAAGGAGCTCCCGCTGACACCCAAAACAGCCTTGGCTTTTTCAAACTCTATCAACAATTTAACAACAAACATAAAAATTAACTAATTAAACTCTAATTCTCCAAAATAAAATATAACTACAAATGTTGCAACATATGAATTCTTTTCCTTTTTCTTTTTCATAATTTTCAAAGTAATCCTTTATTTTCAAATATCATTTTTTTATAATTTTTTTAAATATTATTAAAAATATAACTATTTATTATAGTTCCCAAAATTATTTTTCAAAATAATACTCTTTTATTTCCTTCGCAAATACCTATGCCAACATAACACGAGGTCACCTCTTAACCTCGTTAGATGGTAGTATATTTTGTCTCTTAATCAAGAGACGACATGGAGCTACGTTTTTTTTTAATTTGACCCTCTTTTTGAGAGTTAAGCGAGAAATCTTTCCCCAAAATTTATAGACTATTGGTGTATTTTGCTGTACAATAAATAAATAAATATATATACATATGTGTGTGTGTGTGGGCCACGTGTTATAACTATTTACATCAAAATTGTCTATTTTTCCTTTGAAAAAAGAAAAAAATCTTTTTCCATCTTTTTTTGTTTTATTACAAATATTATTTTTCTGAAACTTTAACTAACTTCCAAAATTCAAAATTATTATATTTTATTCCTACTTTACGACAAATAATATAAGAAATATCATTTTTACAAAGATAAAAAAAAACCCAAAATCTAATTTAGTTATAAAGAATCGAGAAATAAAAAGAAAAATAATAATAAAGTTTTGTGATAAAATTGGTAAGCAAATAATTAATTTCCATGAAAGGCAAAAGTAGAGAGAGAGAGAGAGAGAAATACGATGTGTCTGGCCAGCAGAAGAAAGAGAAGGAAACAAACGCCCATCAGTATAGTCTGCCATGACCACTGCACAATTTCAAATAAATAAATAAATAAATAAAAGGTTACCAATTTTCTATCACAAGAAATAAAAAAATAATTTATTATTATTTTATTTGTCACTTTCCAAAACATACCTTTTTTTTTTATTCCTTAAACTTTCAATAATTAGAAAAAATCTCTCATTTATTAACATTATTAAATACTTTATCTATCATTTATTATTTGGTCAATATGTGTTTGTTAAATAATTTTGATTTGAATGTTATAATTTTAGTAATTGAACCTCCAGTGGGATGCTTTTTAAAGTTATATTTATGTTGGCTTTAATTTGAATTTTATTATAATCTCTAAATTTTTATACTTATTCTATTTTGATTTGTATATTTTTAAGATTTTTTTTAGTTGGATAAGTTTTCAAAATATTTTATGTTAATTTCTAATATTGGTAAACAGCTATATTAATTTTTAATGTTGTTAATTTCCATTTGAAAATCCAACCATATACACGTGACTTCACATGTGTCCATGTAAATATTTATTGATGAATGATGATACAGATAAAACAAAGTTGTGTGTCTCTGGCTTTGTCCAAAGATTAAAATGGATTTTAGTTTAAAAACTTCATATATTAAAACAAAATATTTGTAAACTTAGAAAACACCTCAAATAAACCTGCCTCAAATTTTTATTATCAAAACAAGATTTTTTTTTTCTTTTTTTTTTTCTTTCNTTTAACATCTAATCCCAAAAGGAAAAAATTATATACTTTTATACTAATGTTGGCAAAAAGTCCAAAATAAGATTTAATAAATCAATAATTCGTTAGAAAAAATAATAACAAAAACTAAAACAATTTTTCATATGCAAAATTAACACAAAAATATTTTAAGGTTTAGAGGTAAAAATTAAACCAACACGGTTCTTAGACAGCTCATTTTAAATTATTTTTCAAATGAATAAGAAAGAATGCAAATGGACAGCTACACTCAGCTCATATTCTTTTTCATGTGATGTATTTTTATTATATTTAATAAATATATAAATAGATGATACTAAATTTTTTTAACCATTAAAAAACATGTATTTACATCTCAAAATCATTAATCAGAAGTTTCTAAGCAAAATGGTGCATGTGGGCAAGTATTTATTTTTGTTTTATTATTATTGTTATCATTAGGTTTTTTTTTTCTGTATTTTTTAATTTTTGTTTATTTTTAGTTCCTGTGATTTTAAAATGTTTATTTTGGTCTTATACTTTCAATTTGGTTTATTTTAATCCATCTATTTTCAAAATATTTATTTTGGTCCCTATTTTCAAACTCCTTACACAAATTCTACACATAACAAAAACCATATTGTTACATTTGAATAAATATATTAAGTGTAATAATGTTGTATTGAAATTGTGATAGAAAAAATGAGATTAAAAATAAAATTAATGGATCAAAATGACCGTATTTTAAAAGTCTAAGGACCAAAATAAACACATTTCAAAAATATAGAAACTAAAATAAAGAAAAATTGAAAATACAATTATAAAAATGTACATTTTTAAAGTACGGGGACAAAAAAGGATAAAAATAATGTTTTAACCTTATCAACTTTTTACTAAACGTCAAAGAAAGTACTTGATTTCTCATTTACTATGGTACCTCGTGAGTGTTATGGAAAACAGAGGTGAGAACAGGAACCAAACCCATCTGTTTGGTGAAATGGGTGATTCCAAGAAGGCCCTTCAGCTGCTGTAGAGACACAATAATGGCGGCTCCCGCCATGAATCCAACCAGAGTCGCCTTCGACAGAAAATCGATTATAAACCCGAGTCTACAAGTACGAATCAAAACGACCCGTCACATCATCGTACCAAGAATGAGAGAAAATATTTAGTTGTTGACCGATGAACATTTATTTTGTACTCATGAGTGGAGAGAAATGCAAAAATAGAGATTTTTTATTTTATTTTAAATTTTTACCTCAAGAAGCCGAGGGAGGCCTGGAAGAGGCCTGCGAAGAAGGTGGAAGTGAAGCCGAGTTGGAGAAACAGTATCGGATCCTTCACCGGAGAAACCTCTTGCCTCAGCATCGACCCGAGTATTAGAGACGCTATCGATACCGGCCCGACCGCGAGGTCTCTTGAGCTTCCCAGAACGGCATATACCAGAGGAGGAACAAAGCTTGAATCTTCATTTTTCAACAAGATAACAAAAGAAAATTCACATTAATAGAAATTGAGTTAAAAAAAAAATGATGAATATGACTTGTAGTTTTGTACCATTGGATGTATGGAATAAAAATTACCATATTTATTTTGAATATGTATATCCTTCATTTGATGGTTGGACATATTCTATACTTTTTTTAGAGAGAGGAAAAATTAATTATCCAATTTGGCTACTACATTCTGCTTGATTGTTAATAATCATGTGATATATGCCAGGTTTAAAATCTATTTGCTCTTTAATTAAAATTGGATTTGAAATATAGTGTAAAATTATCAACCATATTTAAGTAAAAATAATATTAACGTACTTATTGATTTTTATCATCTAAGAACTAATTTTATTAACTTTATGATATATGTCATTTTTTATTATTGGTCTGTATTATTGCATTTAATAGTTAAATAGATATGTTAAGTTGGAATTTGATTAAATCATATATCTCTAACCAAATTATGAGTAAATTAAAATCTCCACTCTCAACTGTTATGTTTTTAAAAAAATTAAATCCATCCCATTTAAATTTTTTAGTCCAGCATGAAAAATGCAAAATGATCTCTGTCCTTTCTCCATTCATTGGTTCCGATTCTCTTACTGGTAAAAGATTTTAACGGTAGCAGAAAAAATGTTTCGAAAGAGAATCAAAGAGAGAGAAAGAATGATATGAAGATAAAAGAGAATCATGAGGAGAGAGAAAATAGAATACTCACAAAGCCCAACAATGGGAGGCAAGTTAGCAAGCTTGGCATAGCTGATACCCTGTTAAAAAAACAGCATTCATCAAGAAAAGAGTACTAATTAACATATTATTATTTAGAAGCTAACTAAGATTAAGATACATGTATTCAACTATGAAGTTGGAGTTGGAGATCAGACCTGAGGGATGGCCAAGCTGGCGATGGTGAGGCCGGAAACGACGTCGGATTTGAAGAGGGCGAGGGTATAATGTGGGCCCCACTGAAGAATGGGGAAAACATACTGAGCAGCGAGCAGCCATTTTGTGGCCGGAGACTGACCTTTGAACTGCCGGAGCGGGTCGTCTGGGAAGAACGTTTCCTTCAGGCGGTTCCGGAGCCTCTGCATGCCGCTTCTGCGCGGCGGCGGAACCACCGCGTGGATCTCAACGCAATGCTGCGGCGGCGGCGGCGGACCCAAAGTGCTTCCGCCGGCCTCCATTATTGTTTATTGTTGTTGTCGTCGTAAAATGGCTTCTTTGAGAAGCGCTTCTTGGCCTTTGGCCTTCTTATTACGCTACAACCCGCAGTCAACTGATTGGAAACAAAGGTGGGAAAAAAGGGCTTGCTTCTTAAAAGAAAAATGGGGAATGTGACATAAAATAATGGAAAAAACTAGAGAGAGAGAGAGAGGTTGCTTTCGGATTTGAGCCTTATCACAATGAATAATTGGTGAGAAATGTGAATTGTGATGTGATACACCACTTTTTGGTTTTTTGTTTTTTACATTTTGGGCAAGGGAATAATTGGGCTTCTTTCTTTTCTTTTCTTTTTTTAATGACATGGAAATTGTGCGAGATTTAAATATTATTTTCGTTTTGTATTTTCGATTTTAGTCTATTTTGATTTTCCATTTTTGTCTCTTTCAAAATGTTTATTTTTGTCATGTACTTTTAAAAATGATATGTTAAAATTTTGATTGAGATAGAAAAAAGACGAAATGACAAAAATTTTCATTTTTAAAAAGTACATAGGGATCCTAATGAATCTTTCCAAGCGTACATGATTACATGATTGAAATGAACCCAAGTTAAAAGGATAAGGATCAAAATAAACTTTTGAGAGTACATAAGTCCATAGTACATGGACAAAAATAGTAATTGAATCATTGTACCGTTAGATTTTTAATGTACGATAAATTACCATTTTAGCAATCTCTATAGATTTTGGTTTAGCTTCCATTTCGCTTAGATTATCTCTAAAAAAACATATTTGAATTTGTTGATGGGTTTTCTCATGTATAAAAGAAAATATGTCATATAAGATAATGATAAATTTTTAGTGATATTGGAATATTTTGAATAATTTAACAAAACTATAAGTATCAAATCGAAAATTTTCAGAATCACAATTTGAAATTAAGCACAAACTCTCCAAGGGCCAAATAGTAATTTAATCTTTAATTTATTTATTATATATTTTCTAATGTAAGTGATGGATTTGTTAATGAAATAGTACAAACAAGGAAAATAATTGCAAATTAATAAATATCCATACTTGTCAAATTTTATTTGGATCTGCACAATAGTTTGTGTGTGTATATATTTATTTATTGTGAAAATTAAATGAGATCTAGATAGGAAACAGATAATTAAAGACTAAAATATTAAGGGAAAAAATCCTATATATATTCTTTTTGACCAGAAATAGTTTTTTTTTTCAATTGATAACAATAATTGATTTGCCATCATTTGTGAAAATTATTTTGTTTGTTTATATTTGTTACTAGCTAGCTAGTTGTTCTTTACTCTTTATAGATAGGCATATTCTTTAGGTTAATTATTAATTTGTCTCCCTCTTATAAAGCTTCACATGTATTAAATTTTTTCCTTTTTTCTTCCTATTTCGCGTAATAGATTCTTATCATAACATATATCTCCATTCGAGCTCTGAAGATCGGCTTTCGATAAATCCAAATGAGATACGGAGGAGCGAACTATGCAAAGAGAGACATACACAGAAGGAACAAACATTCCAAAACTCAAGTCAGTCTGAATTCAAGCTAAGTAATTCAATTCCAAATAGAATTGTGTACTTAAGTGGGTGGACAAATCTGTTATTACTGTTGCGATCGGAGGCTAGGCAATTACAGATTTGTCAAACTTATAGTTTGGGATCCCTTCAGCTTTGATAGACGCAACTTTAGGAGAATCACTAAGTCTTCTAAATCTCTTCAAGTTGTTCCCTTATCGTAGGTCAAACCTTACCTTTTAAGTAGGTAAAGTCTTACTAGTCTTTTCGAGCTGGTCTGATTGGTCCACGTGTTATGTCAGTTTTTATCCTCCAACATTGATAATACTATAATGTTACGTCAAGATTTATTTTCTCACATGTTGTTGATGCTAGAGATGAATCTCTATTCTACCCCGTCATTAGTTTGTTTTACTCATTCTTTATCAAAAAAATATATATTTGTCTCTTGACGATGGATACACTAAGTTAAAATCGTTTATCTATAGCAAACAACACTCTCTATTCCTCAAACTACCTTCCAGATCGATGAAACTAACTCCTAAATGATGCCTAACGATTTATGTTCCTTTTTTTGTTATACAGTGGTAATTATAAAATGACCTTAAAATATATATGTGTATATATATTATTAGATCATTTTTAATTTCGCGATGGGTTAAATGGGAAATAATTAGCCAAAACGAGCATAGCTCAACGGTATTTGACATATATCAACCAGGAGGTTGTGAATTCGAATCCCCCACAATTACAGGGAAATAATTAAAACCTATAAAACGGTGTATTTGGTCAATTATTGGATGGGATTATAGTTCCCTAGTGTCAAATAGTGTTTTAAACGTCGTCTTTGAGCCATGAGACATTTGAATGCTAATAATCTACAATAAATTGATATTGTTTAATCTCTCTTTTGAATTGCCAACACGGCATATTAAGCAAATCTGGATAAAAAATGGTCGTGAGTTCAAATCTCTAAATTGTTATTAACCAAATTTATAAATCGCAATTGTAAAAGTGTGTTGTATTTAAATTAATATATAATAATTAATTTTACCGTACACAAAAATAGTTAGAATTCTTGTGTAATCATTTTAGAGCTCTACCAAATCAAACTCAAAAGGATCCTTAGTCTAGTCTCACAGTTTTGCTAGGGATTACTAAAATTGAAACCAACGGAAAAGCTAGACTATTTAAAACATATACCCTCTTAGTTATTTTTGTATTTTTTTTCAAATAAATTTTACAAGACAGAAATTTGGAAGAATATAATAAATTAGTTAATCAAACGTAAAATATGAGTTCAACCTCCTTTTAGGTTTAGGCATCTATTCTCAGCCATGAGGTTGTGAGTTTGAATTTTCATCCCCACATGTTATATTAAAAGAAAAAAAAGTAGAAAATATGAATCTCAACTTATTTCGATTTCATATCTAAAGCTTAAGAAAACAAATGTATTTTTAAAAAATTGTATACAATGAAAAGAAAAATCTAAAAAAATTACAACAGGAGACATTCAAATTTGAAAAGATATCCATATTCAGATCTATTCTTTTATGTATGTGTGTCTATCTGCTCCGAAAACTAAGGATGAAGAGAGGTAGACAGGAAATGAGGTCTTACAGAGTCCTCTAGTTCCGGCCCAATTTCATATATATAAGAATTCATTTTTAATAGTTAATAGGGACATAATTTGATCATGAATGACAAAAATGATTTCCGTTTTTATGGGGTTCCATCTCAAAACCAATTGAGAGGGAGTAGCCCATGTCGTGGCTTTAATACTATATTAATATTCATGGGTTCCATCTCAAAACCAATTGACAATGATAGGAGTAGCTCATGTATATTATAAATCATTGTTAAGTCCATTTTCTTTTCAATGTGAGATTTTTAACACTAATTATAAACATCATATATATTTTAGTTGATCTAAAAGTATAATTCTAGTGATCAAACTGTTTTCTCTAGTAGACATAAGTCAATTTTGAAAGGGAAAATGAAAAATATGGGAAAAATATTTGAAAGGTTGAAAGTTTACAAACTAGAACATAGTAATTAACTAAATTTTCAAAATAGAGATAAAAAATATTATGCATAAAAACGACATAAACCTAATTATGAACATATCTCTTCAAGTTAAACACAAGCATAATTCTAGATAATCATATATTATTTTTTTCTCTCAAATTCAAACATAGTTCAACGAGTATAAAGTATCTATTATGATTTCTAAAGTAGATGGTTCGATCTCCTACCTCTAATTGCTGAACTTAAAATATATTTTTGTTTTGTTTTCTGAATGGTAGGTAGGAATACTCGAGGTATTATTTGTAATATTATATTTTAAATTATTTTAGGAGAAAAAAAAGGACATATTTGAATGGGTGAAAGATGATGACCCACTGCCACAATCCTAGTGACTTCCATTCTATCAACTCCAACCATCAATCAACCTTGAAATGTGTTGGATTGGAGAAGATGCGAAGTCAATTTTGTCAAAATCTTTTTCTTGTGCTAATCATTAATTGTGTTGCACATTGTGCCATTTGTCAGTCTCTTAATGTTCAATGGTGCAATAAATGCACGATATTTTTATATTAAAATATAGATTTTTGGAGATTTCCACTCGTTACGATAAATATAGAATCATTGATGATCTTTAAGATGATAATAGATAATTTATAAATTGTCTTGACCTCTAAATTATGTTTAAACCAATCAATTTTAATTTGAACTTTTCTTATATCGTTGAATAAAACTTTAAACTCGAAAAAACAAAGTTTCTAATAAACGACTAAATAATAAATTTTCAATCTCTTCTTAAAAATGACCAATGTGAGCAACATAATTTTTATTCCAACTGAAGACAAGATTGTGAGAGATCGTATTTTACTTTTTTGACTTTCATGAAGTTAAGAATTGTTTAAAATAAGAAAATTAAAAATATACATTTTAAAAACCAATATAAATAGTCAACTGGAGTATAGTTCAACTAGTTAAGTATTATAGGCATGTTCTAATTAAATGTCAATTTTCGAATCTATATTCCGCACCATTGAACTAAGGAAAAAACATTTAATATAAGTGATTCAATCAATATCAACTCACATATAGTTGGGTATAATATAATTTAAGCTTTGATTCTAACATTAGATTAAAGGATTTACCATAAATTCATTAGGACTTAATTCATAGATTTTTTTTCTAGAAATCATATAAGGTAAAATTTGACTTCTAGAATTATTTTATATATCACTCTACAAGAATTTTTTTTTTCCTGCTAACGACTTATATTTTCATCACCAGAATACACCTTTGACGACGAATCTTGGCATTCGTTGTGATACCTATTGGCGTTGAATTACATTTCATCGCAATAAGTACTTATTGTGATGAATATTGTTATTCGTCATCAGAAATATCTAGGGCAACCAAATAGTTTTATGTGTTTTAGAGGGAATTTGACTGTTCAACATTTTTGTACCAAAATTGGAGGTATCTGGGAATGAAATTGATTTCGTCGCTAAAAATTCATTAAACCAGAAGAACCCTTTTCATTTTCTACGATTTTCTTAAACCTCGTTTTCATTTCCCTATCGTCGTTGCCGCAAGTCTTCCCCCTCCATCCACTGTTGCCATCTCTTCCACCTTCGCCCATCGCTGCCTCTTCTCCCTTCATCTGCCGCTGCGCAATG